TTGATGGAGGCTCCTGTATCTAGCAGCATTGTTAAGTAAGAGGCATCAAATACAAACACTAATTTTCGGGCTTTGTGAATTCCTTTTGTAACTTGCACCATCAATTCCATACAAATATTCATCTTCCCAACTTGATTTGCTTTCATGCCTAAATGAATGTAAAGCTTCCTTATGAGTAGTTTTCTCAAACTTCTTTCGCTGTTTATTCGGACAAACTGATGCAAAATGATTCTTTTGCTTACAATTTGGGTAAAATTTTCCTTGACTCAGACATTTTGCTATATGTACATAGGACTTCAAATTCGCCGGCGACAGAGAAAAAAGGTTCAGATAGTTTGAACTTTCAAGGCGAACGTCGCGCACAGCGCACGAAACGAAAAAATTCAAATACGCATGCTCATAACCTCTCGCCGGCGAAGAAGCGAAAAAATTTCGCCCAATGGAGATTGGCCTTAAGAAAGTCTGATTAAAACTTGTTTCCATTAAAACAACTTCGCATTTTCTTTTTGCAGTTAATGAGTTGCCTTATGTAATCCATGAATTTGCTTCATGTTAGTCCGAATAAGTGTCTATCCAGTAATGTAGCAACCTACATAATTCAACACATTACAAAACAATACAACACGAAACAAAATAATTCAACACGACACCAAACAATACAATACAAAACAATACAACACGACACAAAACAATTCAACACGACACAAAACAATTCAACACGACACAAAACATTACAAAACGAAACAATACAATATGAAAATAAATGTTTAGATTTTCTTTATTTGGGACATGTAATCTGCTGTAGCACTATAAAACAGCTCTTTTTGCGAGAAAATAGTTAAGTCCTCCCAACAAGGCCATCGAAAACGATTGGCGGAGGTGTTGATGCCTCATCACACTTTCTTTACCTGCATCATACGAAGGCGAGACACCGCACTTGACTCATACCTCTAGAGACGTGGGGTATACCGGAATATGTTTGAGATTTAAGTGAACATGTTTTTGTCTTTTCTGTTGTGAAAAAGACGAATCCTCAGTTCACAAAGAAACCTCTGCTTAAGCCGCATTTACACGAGCAAGTTTTCCTGACAATTTTTCTTTGAGAAATTTATTTTGCTCGTGTAGACTGCGGTAGATTGAAGAAAAATTACATTTTTTTACTTGCAGGTGTACTTGTTCAAAAGCTGGCGTGCCAGTTTTTCAACAAGTACACCTGTCAAGTAGAAAATTGTCATTTGCAAAACTTGCCCGTGTAGATGGCCTGGACAAATTTGACTCAATTCCAGACCCTTCTTTCCACGCAGGAATTGCTTGTTCTCGCAAGTAATAGCTTTCATGGCCGCCGTGAGGTTAATCTGGACCGATCAAGGAACGTCAATCCTCTTGAAATCTCTGCAAAGCCGAGAAATCCTTTGGAATACAAAGGCAGGCAGTTACAAAAATAGGTACACCAATGAGGTATTATTGCCTGCTAAGATTTCCGATGACATTTTCGAAGACTCCAAATGCAAAACTTTAACTGTTGGACTTACCGGAAAAATTCTGAAAACTGAGTGGGACTGTAAGCCTCAGTTCTCCAATCAAGTTTCCTGCTAATTCTTTGATCTGCTTGCGACGATAACTCGCCCAAACCCACTACTTTCGCTGTCTTTCTTTTTATAGATTCATTGTACATTAGTAGGGCTGCAGCTGTCCCACACATGAATAAAAGTTTCTTCTTCGGTAAAGGAGCCATTTGGCGCGAAAAACGAGCCCCATCAGAACACCGAAGCTAACCTATAAACTCCGCTTGCTATATAGCAAATAGATATTGTCAAAGAGATTTTTTAACTTTCTACTCGAAATGTGTAGAAATTGTCAAATGAAACTTGTTTATAATCTACACGGGCAAGGAAACTTGTCAAGGAAAATTGCCAAGAAAAAATTACTCGTGTAAATGCGGCTTTATCATGCTAACATCATTGCCAAAAGTGCCTGGAACACCCTGCAATTTGCGTTATTTTTTTATATTTTTCAATTCTTTTCCCGGATACTCCTATTTCCGCACCCCCTTCCCCCTAAACAATGTTGATAATTTAAAAAAAATGTCGAAGAAGTTACAGAAAAAAGGTTTTTTCCCAAACCCTTACGTCGATTTGTAGTAAACCAACATTGTTGAAAGGGGATGGCTGAGTTTGCCCTTGGAAACTGACGTTAGTGTACCAAGAATTTTTGGCAAGCATTGTAGTTGATAAGGAGCTGGTGCGTTAAATTTTGAAAACATGCCCTCGTAGTACTTGAAGTCTTGACCTACGCAAGGATCAAGATATCCATACAACCAAATTCTGCGTGTTGATTTTTGGTGGAACAATTTCGGTTATAATTACGAATCCTCCATGCAAATTTCGGTGAGAGCTTGAGTAAATTCGGTAAAGGGAAGAAATTATGTGGATGAATAATTAAAAACTGACCGCGTAATCTTGTGCTTCTTTAAGCATTGAATTATCTTTGAGTCAACGATCAACCAGGCAAGGCCGAAGGTTGAAAATGACGAGTCTCCTTTGCTTGCCATTATCAATTATCCTTATTATTTTCTGTTAGTCCACTCCTTCTGAGGTTTACTATTTTCTTATATGTTTCCATTTTTAAATCTTTCCATGATGTTGATGAGCTGGGTTCTCTTCGTGCTTCTTATTTTGTCGTCAATGATTGATGATTCAAGTTGAGCGATGCTTTTTAATAGTTTGCCTTTTCTTTCGCTCTCTTAAATATCTTTCACCATCATGCTCGCGACTTCATCAACCCAGCAGTTTTTGGCTTTCTTTAGATGGCACAATGAAATGGATGATAAATGTCTCATGTAACCCTTTCTTAGATTTCATGTAAATTTTGCTTTTCAGTAGTTTCTTTCATTCCCAGAATAATATCTTAGCAATTCCTATTTTCCTTTTGATTTCCTTAAAGCATTTAGCTCCTTCCATAATTTTTGTGCTTTACATTTATGTTTTTTTTTATATTAATTTTCGTTATTATAATTAGATATAAATTTTTTTTTCTTGTTATAACGCTATCCCATTTCATTCTATTTTTATCCTTGCCTATTTGTATTTTTTTATGAAAATATTCTTTTTGCGTTTGACTCCGTACCTTTCATTTATCTTGTCAGTTCATCTTTGTTAGTTTCTTCTGTGCTAGCTAGTAATACGGTGTCATCAGCAAATCTTAAATTGCAAACATGCTTCGTCTTGTAGGGCTTAGTCTATCAGTCCCTCGCTGAACATATTAAAAAGTACTGGTGAAAGAGCACAGCCTTGCCATACACCTTTTCCCAGTCTTGAAAAGCTGCTAGAGTCTTATATTTTCCTCTGATTTGTGCAGTTTGAGTCCAGCCTGGAGGGTGGAAGGGGGATAAGGAGGGGCAAAGTTCTAGGGCCGGTGTTCTGAGTGAGGCTGCTAGATGGTTATGCAAGATTTCCAGAATATTAAGGCAACCGACAAAGAACCTAACTTGTTTTGATGTAGAGGGTGAAAGACAGAAAATTATTATGTGCCGGCGATTTGTTTGTTAGTAATAAAGAAGAACCAGAACCTTGACTGTTTGTGATTGAAAAATATATCAGTAAAAAATATCGATCGGTTTACCGTAAATCTTCGAATAAGCCTCCACGCTCGAATAAGCCCCCCCCTCGAATAAGCCCCCCCCTCGAATATGCCCCACCTAAAAAATCATTTTTGCAAATAAGTCCCCATGGCGGCTTATTCGGGGTAAGCATAATTGCAGAATAATATCATATTTCAAGAAAGCCCCCACAGGACAATAGCTTTACAGTATCACTTCCTTTGACTGGAAACCAAAAAGCAAAAAAGCGACTTTTGTGATGATAAAAAATTATAATATTTGTTAGTTCTTTGTTAGATTTGTTAGAAACATAATGTCGTTTTTATGTCGACTTTTGGGGAAAATACTAAACTTTGAAATAAGCCCCCCCCTGCTCGACAGCCTCGCCTTGAATAAGCCCCCCTCCCCCCCCCCCTCGAATAAGCTCTCCCCTCGAATAAGCCCCCACCCAAAAATTCATTTTTGCAAATAAGCCCCCGGGGTTTATTCGAGGATTTACGGTAAGTCACGTATTAGCATATCAATCAGATTTAAAACAGGTGGAAGTCCTTCAAGTCAACAAAGATCTGCAATTTAAGGAAATCACTTTTTTATCTAAAATAGACGAGTTGTTGTTATTCGTTTAAAATTTCGGTGAGATGAAACGGTTTCAATAATGTTGGGGGGTCAGTTGTCTTTGATTCCGAAAATGAATTTCATCGAAACTTTTGGTAATAATGTAACAAGCACGTGCTGATTGTCTAAAGGTACTTTTTATGTTTCCGCTTTCTGCGCCATCTTCAAACATAATCTTGCTATTCAACAAAAGTAACCGCTTGTGAACTTGCGATCAAATAATTTAGAGTGCCGATAAACAGAATAGACTCAATGCCTTATCGATTCAATTTTTGTCAAGCTATTCGAAAAAGGCTGAATTGAAATTACTTTATTGAAGCTGATTTGTATTTCTTTATTTTTTTTATCTTACATTTCTTTAGTTTTTTATTATAAAAAATGTTATTTAAAATATTTCGTTTACTTTTTAAGCATGTTATAATGTTTTTGCTGGGCAATTGGAAAACAATTAAAAATTTTCTTTACTTATCTGAACCCTTGCGAAATTTTTTTCTGATGAAAAAATGAAATGACACGAGCAAATGAAACTATGAATCCTACATTTTGTGCCTAGAAGAGGGTCAAGCAATCGATATAGGAACATCTTGAGTACCGTATTTCCTCTGATGAACGCCGCCCTCTAATAAACGCCGCCCTCTGATAAACGCCGCCCTCTGATAAACGCCATCCTCTACTGAACGCCACAAATTTTGACTCAATCTTTATTACGTGTTTTTGGGAAAAGACAATTTTTTTCAAAGTCTGTTTTTATCTTTTCTCATTGCACTTTTCTTGTCAATTTTCATAGTTGTCCAATCAGTGCTGCTGCGAGCCTATAGGAAAATTACCACTGGAGTCTAAGGTTCAGGTTCATTTTATTTTAAATTCCACAACATACATTTCCACAAAATGCTAATGAAAATCCAGCAACATCAAATATCAAACAATAACTATAACAATAACATATGGAACACAAATTATCAGTGGGATATTTATGTATGGGGAATTATTTAAAGGAGGAACTCTCTTAGTAGCAAAGCTAAGCGAGGAGAGAGGCCCCTCTATAGTATACATTAAGATATTTCAGCACTTCAACGATATCAAAATAAATAATACCGAAAATGAAAATCTGATTTCTGTAAGTGGGAAGTGAAAAACAGGGTGAAAAATTTCAAGGATTAGCTGTTAATGTTTTTTGCAAGCAGATATGACTTCAATTTATAACGAAAGCAAACCAATGATACAGATTCTTTGATGTCAGTAGGAATACTATTCCACGATGCAGCACAAGAAAACGGACGGATCTTAAGCCGTATTGAAGGGTGTTTTTTTGAGTTAAGAAAATGTCGTTCTTAGAAGCCTTTCGAGTATTATGTTGATGAATAGACTTGATTGATTCAAAGTATGAATGAAAGCAGACAGGCGATATCCTATTGATACATTCATAAACAAAGGAAAGAAGTTTTAATTGAAACAAGTCTTGTAATTTTCAGATTTTCAAGTCAGAGAAAATGGGTGAGGAAGGAGAACAGAAACTTTGAAAAGCAATAGCTCTGATCACCCTTTTTTGCAATAAGAAAACAATGTGGATTTCATAGGTAAAACCCCAAACTAAGTCCATAATGGAGAAAAGAAGCAAACAAAGAGTTGTAGAGACATAATAACACATCAACAGGAACGAAGTGTCTGATCTTAAAAAATATGCCACAAGTTCTAGCTTACTTCTTAGCAAGTTCACTTAAATGGTATTTCCAGCTAAGATTCTCATCAAGTAGAATACCAAGAAATTTAACATATTGAGATTGTTTTATGATTTGTGTTCCGATTTTTATGTTTATATTGTCTGTTAAAGGGCGTTGGTGTGACCTGAAAATTATAAAATTAGTTTTCTCAATATTTAAAGAAAGCCTGTTAGCATCAAGCCATTGTTTGACATAATCCAGTTCTTTATTGACAACTTTTAAAAGTTCACCAAATTCATCAGCTTCAAAATATATATTAACGTCATCAGCAAAGAGATAAAAAACAGGTTTTTGAGATGAATTAGGCAAGTCATTTATGAAAATAAGGAATAGCAAAGGACCAAGGACAAAGCCTTGTGGTACCCAACAGGTGATGTTAAGTAGATTGGAACTAAAACCATTAACAGAGGCATATCGTTTTCTATCAGTAAGATAGGATCTAAACCAGTTAACAACTGGGCCACGTATTCCATAGTGTTCAAGTTTTCCCAAAAGAATTTCATGATTTACTGTATCAAACGCTTTTTGCAGATCAAGAAAAATTCCACATCCATATTTTCTGTTGTCTAGACTTTCCTTTATATTCTCTGTCATGGTAATGAGTGCATGGTTTATAGAATGGCTTGCACGGAAACCAAATTGAAGTGAATGCAGAACATTGTGTTGTTCTAAGAAGTTACACGGGGTCCGGTCCAGATCGCATCCATACGGGATCACCTCTGAAAGCGACCCCAAAAGTGTTCGGATGGCGGATCCAAAAGTATACGGACCCATCAGTTCCCGTGTAAACGCAAGGCCTATTCGTACTCTTTTGGATCCGGTCTGGATCGGATCCACTTTCGTGTAAACGGGGTCTAAAAAATTTTTACAAAGTTTCTTCTACTTGTCATATATCACGGGGCATGTCGGGCTTCGATGTTCTTGTGAAGTATGTTTTGATAAAAGAAGTATATGAAACTAGAGGAAATATGTGTTTGATTGCCTTTTTTATGCACTGATGACGCTGTTTCACATTGCATGAATCAACTGCCCTTTATCTTGCATTCGTAACCAATTTGACTAGGAAAATATTTTGAATTTCGGCCTTGCGATTCCTTCCACCTGCAAATGTTAACAGATGGTTTTTCTGCACATGTGAAAATGACGAACGTCTCCACGCAGTTTTCAATTGTCCTTACGAACAGTGGCGTAGCGTCCGGGTATTCAAGGTATTCAGTGAATACCCTGAGATTTCTCAGAAAAAATATTAATACGACGTATATTTGTAATAACTAAAAAATGTTTTGGGGCAATTGATTCTGGTTGAATTCATTACCTTCGATATTCTACATTTTGTACAAGTACAATATATCACGAAATTCATGGAAACAACACTGCGACGCATAGAGAGGCTGGGAGATCTTTGAAGCTAACTTTGATGATTGAGCTACTTCATGTTGAATGGTGATCGGTCATGAATACGCAGTGAATACCCTAGACGGTACTTTAACCAATCAAAATGCTCCTTTCCATGAATAATATTTGCCGTTAATCAGCTAAAACAATGGTCCTGTACGCTGAGAAATATGCAGCGTACAGCCTCAAAGTTGGTTCAAAATAGTCTCGTTTTGAGATCGATATAAACAGATAATGGACGTCGGAGCGGTTGGAGTGATGGATCTTCATCGAAAACAGTAAACATGACTTCATTCAAAAGCTATTGCAATGTCCGTATCACTGTTTCATAATCATTCTCTCATTTGACCCCTAATCTTAATCTACCAACAGCAAAGTGGAAAGGTAAGGTAGGCTTCTACATAATACTACACTGACTCAGATCTGTGCCCTCTTGAAATGTCAATTTTGTTATTGCTTGTCAATCAGGGATGCTTCTAATTGTGTTATGAGACGGAATTGAAGTAAATGCAGATAGGCCTGGATAATATCCTTATAGTTGCCTGGTGTATTCAGTTATCTTGTTGGCCTATTTTGTTTGCATTATTCGAGCGCATTTATTTGCATTATTGTGCAGTCTCATCTCATTACCTTCGATTCTTTCAAACATTAACTTGTATTGAAAATATCACGATTGGGCCATGTAGAAAAAGTCTAGACTGCATACCACAAGCTATTTATAACTCGTGTAATGCCCTATATGAATAATTTTGAAACTTTTGAAAGCCCTTTTGTAGGTATCAAGATTAGGTGTTTACAGTTACTTCCTCTTTACATCAGTGCAAATTTTAGAGGATTCAACAACAACTATTGGGACATATTTCGACCAGCAAAATTTTACTGATTTTCAATGATACGTTTTGATTTGAATTACTTTTGATGAAATGGAATTTTGATGCAATGAATGAGTTCGAAGAGTATATTTGCGTTGGGTCCTTTTAGCAAAGTATCGTTTTCATCATAGTAATGCCCTGACAGTGCAGTACTTGCCAACCGAACCAAAAAGAAAAGTGTTAAAGTAATAGATTAAATGTCAAAAGCTAGTCCTTTTAATCTTCCTATTATCCCTCTATTTTCATCAAGCCCCATCGAGCCACACCCTGCCCCACCCTTTTGTTTAATAGAGAATACCCAGTTGAAAACGTCACGCTACGCCACTGCTTACGAAGCCTCTTAAGTAATGTCAAGTAACTGAGAAAATAAAAAAATATATGCTAAGTTGGTGTTCGTTTTCATGGGAGGAATTTATTAAATTAGATTCCTTTCATCTCAGGAAGGAAACAGGTTGTTGTTGCGTTTCAATGGGGTCATCCATAAAAACACAAGCCTCGAAATTGGTCAAAAGTTAAGAACAAATTAGGAACAAGCTGAGGCTGAGCTTCTGTAAGATGCTATTTTGAACAACCTTTTATCGCAAAAATGAGGATTTCTAGCCATGTGTGTGTGCTTTCTCGGTGAATATTCAAACTTGACCCCAAATTGAGGTTGTCTCACTCACTTTATTGGCAAATAAGGTCTGAACACCTCCCTAGTGCAAAAACCCTAGCAATCGCACTGCTTACATCCTTTTAATTTAAGAACAAATTAAGAACAATCCATTTGGAAACCTCAGATTTTCGAAAAAATTAAGAATAGTCAGCCGGAACTTAACTGTACTGTCTCTTATAAAGAAGAATGTTTTACACGTTCTACAAAACTGTTATAGTTTTAGTAATTTTAATGCGGTTATGACTCAGTTGTTAGGGTAGCTGGCTAAAGATCCTAGGGTGTGAGGTTCTGTCCCCGACATGACTATATTTCTCACCCATGGCGAAGGGGAGTCGCCATCTCTCTGTAATTCTAGGCATAGGAGTCATGAGGTGTGGCCATATCGCGAGGAAGGACCAGGACACTGCTAAATAAGTACAGCTTCTCAGTGTTCTTAAAGCTCCCTACGAATTCAGTTGAAACGAATGAAGAAAACACAAAAAAATTGACAAAATTTTATATCTTTGCGGATATTATTTGTTATAAAAATCAACATTTATTGATCTACCTGCTTCGCTTCAGTTCAAAGTTTTCGCAAGTGTTTCGGATTGATAGGAGCAGTTCGCTTAGAATATGAAGTCAGAGTGTTAACTGTGACCAGTTTGTCTTCCTGAAATTCTTATCTTCGCTACATGTCTATTTTTTATCTGGAATCCTATCTCCATTTAGAATAGATGAACATTAGGCGTTTCCATCATTTTCCAGTAACCTGAATGGTGTGGCACCAAAATCCAGTTATTATCTAACAACCCCCCCCCCCTTATCCTTGTCACTTAAATCCGCCCTTGATTGCATCTTGTTCTATACATCAAACCCTATACTGCATCGAGCACTTTATGACCGATCGGTAAACAGCAATTTTTAGCAACCTCTAGTTCCGTGTCTATTAAGGTACAGCCTTGTGTAGTATGTTCTCTTCTGACTTTTGTGCATCTTTAGTTTGGAGATCATCGCTAATAAATTCTACTTACCTCACCTTTTGCAACAAAACGCAGTATTGCAATGCAGTTTTTTTAACTCACAACATCTTCAACTTTATAATAAACAAATGTATTTTAAGATCATTGACCTTTTTATTTTCTAGAACGAATTGGATACCCCTTCCCGGAAAACGTCAATGACACAAAAGTGGGCTGAGGTGAGTTTGAATCAATGTTTACACTTAAACGTTTAACCTGGGTTACCGCTAACCTGGATTGAACCCAAGTTGGACCCATTTTCGTTTCACTACATTGACCACAAAGTATAGTTTAAATGCAAAGTTGGTTAACACCGCGTTAATTTCGTCACGCATGCGCTTCGCTGTGAATTGCGCTCATTGGCGTGTAAGATTGTAAACCTGGGTTCAACCCAGGTTTGCATTTACACTGCATTTCGTAGATCTTAACATGGGGTCAACCTTGGTTCAACCCACCTCCAGAGTTAGGTTGGCTTAACCGTTGCATACGTGCTAGTATATAGCCTCGTTTATATGTTATGTTCTGTTCTGTTTTATTAACCTCGTATTAACATGAATTAGATTCGAGCAATGATATATGGAAGAGGTCATGGCCGATGATAGAGAGTTTGCAATTATTTTATTGCACTGTTTTATTAACCTAGTCTCAATCCAGGTTAGCTGCGTTTACGCTACAAAATATCTAACCCAGCCCAGGTTAACGTTAGTTGTTTACCCAGGTTCAACCCAGGTTCAACCCAGGTTCAACCAAGGTTAAATTTGTTAGTGTTAACATGGCTTTAGAGCCTGTGCACACGAGAGCGGATCCGTTTTCCTCCGTTCCCGAATATGTATGGTTATGCCTTGCGTCTCTAATCTAGTCCGGTTTTCCCTGCTATCCGCACTAGGGTTGATAAAAAACCGTATTGGTTTGAATCCGATGAAAAATCCTTTCGAGTTTCGGTCCGATCGATGAGAGCATTCTTATCCACACTTAGACGGATAAGAAATGTGTTCATTTTAAATCCATGTCAGGCTATGATTTTATCATTACCCTTTTTTGATTTCCTCCTTGTTTGCTCAAATGCCCTGTTCATTTCCGGGTACATGCGAAACCAATTAAATTGGCTCTTGTATGATGGCAAGAAAAATTTTTGGAACGGATCTAAAAAGACGGGAACAAACAGGTCCGTTCAGATCTGCTCAGGTTCTTAAAGTGAAAGTATTCTCTACATGGAATTAGACTTCATCGGACACGAATTACACACATTTTTTATAAGAATACCTAATTTTTTGCCGAGCCTCAATATTCTTAAAAAATTTCGATTGTGAGCCCAAGATTATTCTTAAATTATTTACACCTTGCCCAACAAGGTGTAAATTCGCCTTAAGATCAAATAAAATTAAATCTTTTTTGATGTGTTGCTTCATCATAAATGTCAGAGTGACAGTTGTTTTGCTTTTGGAGAAAACTCAGATTGAGGAAAAAATTTAGTCTTGATAAAATTGAGCGTGGCATTATTCTCAAATTTTAGCAATCTTGAGACTCAATATTCTTATAGACTTTATTCTTATAAAAAAATGTGTGTATTCTACTCAAGTGTGAAAATACCCCAACAATGCACCCTTGAAGCTTCCTTGAAATTTTGCCGCTGTTTTTGATGCCTGATACAAAAGAAACAAATAATAAGGATTACCTTTAGCTTTTTATCACCTCTTTATTTTTAAAAATATGACCTTTACTTCAACACCGTTAAAAGCGTAAGAAACTTAAAAGGAATATTATTGATACAAAAGCTTTAAAGTAGATCATTTTTCTGGAAATTTTATGTGATGCAGCTGCTGAAAGAATTTGGTGACGGTTCTGTTATTTAAAAGACCAACCCATTAAAGATGTAGGCTGTGCTAAAGCAAGATTGATAACGCCTTTTGGTTTTATGGTTTAAACTGTCTTGAATTTAAGATATTGCATGATTTATATCCATAATGTTGAGACCAATTTCTTTCGATCCATCACACACTTTGTTAAAATTTTAAATACTTAGCAGAATATCCGATTAAGGTAGCGAAGTATTATTCTTCTAATAAGGGATAGATTTGTCTCCCAGACATTTTTCCACTTAATCTTAATGTCAAAAAACCGAGGGTTTTGTGACACTGTTATTCGTCAATTTTTTCTTTTGTATCTGAATTAAAAGATGCTTTGAAATTGAAGGGTTTAATAGACAGACTGTTTTGTGGCCGTGCAAAAGTGTACTTAAAGCTATTTAGTTAAATATTTGGCATTGGGCGACACTCTTGGTTGATGTTTTGCAAGGAAAGCACGCCTTGGCAATAGAGTACGGAAGTGTGACGTCATCAAAAATCTTTTTTAAAAATTTCCTAAATTTGACCACAAAATCTGAAATACCAGCATAAAATACCTTCCAATATGAAATATCAGTTCCATATATTGAAAATTATGCGAGATATAGCCAATGAATTGTTTCAGGTTTGCTAACGGATTACTGTTATTTATAAAGTTATTAACCACGAAAAAATTACAGAGGTTCGATGGGGCAAGAGCCTGTGCCAATGTGGCCATATCTCAGCCAATTCGTAATATCTTTAAGTGATTTTGCTTATTTGGATGTATTTCATGATGATCTTTAAGGTGATGGGATCAAAATTGAAAAATTCTAATTGTACGAACGTTTGTGAGCAAACGCTGGTGCTGTTTTGGAGGCAGCTGTGAGACAATTAAGATCCTATTTCCTTTATATTGTAGGCCTCTGCCAACTGTGAAGCTTCTAAAACAAGCCTCGAAAACATCTGCAAGCACCTCTCAGAAGAACTGCAAAACTTTGACATTTCAAAAGAGCTTGATCTCAAAGAATTATTAATTGATTTTGCAGATGGAAATTTCCAGCACTATGAGAAGGTTTGATTTTACTTTATTTCATCAACAAAAATAAATCTTATCAAACTTGGAACAGTAAAGAATAGCAAATGGTATAAGCCAATATATATTTTCCAGAGTCCAAAAAAGTTGTTAACCTTCCTCCAGACAAAATCATCAGCGAAGGTGAAGAATCCGGTTAAGATAATCCGATTAATCTCGTGTCATACACGTCGAGGAGTTTTTTGACTGCTTCAACACAGGTCGCCTAGGGCCAAGGAACGCTCTCCTAGATATATGACAGCAAACAAAACATGGTACCTCTCCCGATTGTTCATGTCCGCCAAAACATCCCAGAAACAGGCCCGTAGCCAGAGGGTGGCATAGGGTGGCAAATGCCACCCCTGGAGCAAGAGAATACCAGCTGTTTGCCACCCGTAGAATTTTTCTCCAATTTTCTTAATGGGCTTTTTCGTCGTTTTCATTGGATTGTCATGACAATTTGAGTCAAGATAACTCTGGCGGAACGAAAGTTGTTTACTGGGGGCTTTTATTACGAGAACCTGGTACCTCTATAAAAATATGCAGCGTAAATATTTTCTGTTCTGGAGAAAACATTCGAGGAGCTTGGTTTTTTTTCCAAGCACTATGCAAATCTTCTTTCGAGTGCTTAAAGGTGTGAAAGCGAGCTCAGTTAGCCGATACTCGCTTTTTATTAATTTATAAAAGTTGCAGTTACTGCTGGCTTCACATCAGCACATAGAGACGTTGAAAAATGCTTGTTTTCTGCATAAACAAGGATAGATTCCCCTCCCTACTCAAAACTTCACTTTAAACTTTGCCTGCATTCGCCAAAGGCCTGGCTACGGGCTTCCCCAGAAAGCAGACCTTCCTCACAAAACAATAGAAAGTGGGCGTGGCTTGGGTGTGTCATAAGAGCTTCTATTTTTTTGTGGACCTTCCTCCGGTCAGTGGCCGTGCGACCGTAATGTTTTCCTGACTCAAACAAAATTTCAAATAGATTTTATTATGTGGCTGTCTAACCAAAATCCTTTTCAACTTTCTTTTGTAAAATAATAGCCCTTAATTACAGATTTAATTAGAGAGTATAAAGATATAGTGTTGAATTTTTACTTTGGATAATGACTGCTTGTTGTTAGTGAAATGAACATTGCTACATATTAATTTCATTTGAAGGATTAATGTTTTGAATAGACAGGATAATGAGAACCAAAATTGAAGTGCGAATTTTGTGAGAAATGAAACCTTGACAGAAACCCCAGGGGGGCACTCAGCACATAGACATACGGGGGGGGGGGTCAGTCCGATATTTTTTTATTAAATGCTTACCCAAAGTGATATTTTTGGGTTAAATATGTATCAGGAATGATATTTTTGGGTCCTGCAAAATCAATAGATACAATCCTGATATTTCTAGGTATCAAATTTAGAAACATTGATATTTTTATGCTATTGTGAGATTTCCATATCTGAATCATATGTATTGTTCATCGGCTGAAGTTTTTTTGAAAATGCAAGCCATGTGACCATACTCTTTGGAAATTTTAATGCTACAGCCATGTGATAACTATCTCTTCTGAAATTACAATTTGTGATATTTTTCGGTATAAGATATAACTAGAACTGATATTTTTGGGTCTTTTGAAAATGTGCTGATATTTTGGGTGGCCTGTAAAATTCTTGGACTGACCCCCCCGTATGTCTATGTGCTGAGTGCCCTCCTGGGACAGAAACTAACATTAAAGTGCTGAGTACAATAAGTTTGTTTGTGTTATTCTTCTTACGATGAATTAAGCTCATCTTTTTAAAATATTTGTTTAAAAAGTCAGCTATTATGGTGACCATCTCTAAAATATCTGTAGCAGGTTTTGTTTCGACATGATGAACACGACATAAATAAAGTCTTTTATCAAAGTTTGTTTTGATATTTTTCTTTGATCTTTGATAGCTACAAAGTAAATGGTATGGTGTAAGAATTATGCTCGATGCAGAAATATCTCCCAACAAAAGAGCTTTTAATATTGTGAGTAGGAAAACATTTTTCTAAACAATTTTGACAATTCTACTTTCCATCTTATGTCCGAATATACAGTATTCATAGTGATTCAGGATTGGCTAGATTTCTTGAGATATACCAAGGAAATGGAGAAATTAAAGCAAACATAATATATTTCCTTTTTTTACATTCTATCTATGTTTCAAATTATATTAAGCTAGCCGTACAGCGTGAAACTTGGAGTAGCAACTTCATATTATGTATCTTCGGTAGCGTGTGTTTCTTTGCCTTCAAATTTTTAGGCCTTAAAGTCTTTTATAGTACGTTGATTCGGTTTTAATCTCCATAGATGAAATCGCATGCTGGCTAAATTAGAATGTGCTTTTAGGGTTTCCACGGGCTTTTTAAAGTTTGATGGACAGCTGCTGCTGACATTCAATATGATTGGATAATTATCGCATATGACGATTTTGATTGGTTAGAGAGCAGCCCCTAAACAGTGTATATTTCTCTAAAAATTTAGCTCTCCAATACTTTCGCTCTTCCCACTAAATTTATTTTATAATATATAAGACAGGTACGCCATTTTCCCACCCTAGAAAAACTGCACTTTGTATGGCCGAAATTCGTCAGGTCATACTGCCTTCAAGTAATTTGAATATGTTTATAAAGTTTCTTGACTGCTGTGATATTGCTGTTTTTTGTTTTAGATCTAGCATACATCAATTTGGCGTGAATAGAAGTTGGACTGTGATAAACAGGTAAAAAAAAAGATTCGATGTGATTTCAAAGCACATGGCTTTTCGTAAGTCTTCAATTGCACAGTAACACAAATAGATTTCACACTTATGGTTACAGCGTAATTTTCGAAATGATTAATTGATTGCAATCGCTTTTAATGTTCAGGGAGAGTATAAACCAAACCAACATCCCTTCGTTTTTACCTATCCACCTATTTTCCTTATCCATAAATTCACGAGAATACCCTTCTTCAAAATTCTGTGGTCTCCCTGATCTGTTCTTTGATCAACACGGCTAGGCCAAAGGCAAAAACCAAACATTTTGCGATGGAACATTTCATTTCCAAGTATACTTTTTGGCTCAACACCAGTTGGCTGTTTATAGGCTGATGCTTTCTGTTAGCCTGCAGCCTGAAATTTGTGTTTGGACACGGGATTCAAAAATTGTCTTCAAAAAGGTTTCCAATTTTTAATTTTGTGATATTAGTAAAAAAATCAACGAAACGTTTGATAAGCGTATTCAGTTTCTTATGAATTTTTTATTTCATTCTTCGTTTTATTTTGATTTATAACTCTGTTTGAGTGTGAAGATTTGAGTGTGAAGATCCTCAGGGAGGGAAGATCCGCACTGGCTGTGTGTTCACTTCCAAGTTGTATGGGTCATTTTACGCCTATTGGGACACCATTGTAGACAATTGTCACAAAATTGGTTCACTTTCTGACCTATGTTACTAAAGCATATATCTTGAAAACTGCAAGCTTCACTGGATCCAAAAAATGGAGCTAAACATATATTATTCACCTCTTTCCCCTTTTTCCTCATTATTTACCTGACATGACCATATTTGTTCCTGCAACTTAAAATAACCATGTTGTCATAAGATCGATCTTTTGGTTTTCTTTGATTTCGATCACTTCTACCTCATTATTGAAAACAAAACGAATAAGCCATGTTATTTTCTCCTCATAATTGCTCGCTTGCGTCCCGATGCCAAATCTGAGTAGATTTTCGACAAAATACAAAATTTATGACATTTAAGATCAAGAAAAGTGTTTTATTAAGTTATTTTCCCGCACCATCTATTAGTTGTCTTTGAAAATCCTGTTGTCTTTACATGTTTTATTAATGTGCAATGTAAGACTTCCAGGATTAACACGGTTTTAATTTTGAGTAGTGGAATTGAAGTAGATTTTTGTTTTGCTTGAATTGCCGTTATGCAATGCTAAGGTTAAATGATGTTAATCCTTGAACGATATCAAACTTTCTCGCATAGCTTTTAATCTAAGATTTTCCGTGACAAAGTGCTTTCCTAGTTCTTTCATACTTCATGTTTCAACAGAAGTATTTATAAGACCGTTAATCGATTCATCTGTTAAGAGGGTAAGATAAGTGCATGCTGTTTAGCTTCTCAAATAAAATCAGCGTTTCTTCGCAGTGCAGCGAGTATATGACGGGGCAATTATCTCTCAACAAATCGAAGTTGGACCCAAACTTAAAATGAGGTCATGCTAAGGTCATCTTTTTGAAAATGCTGTTTTGAATGGCAATTTGCTAAACTCAAAACAAGCCATTTCGTTTTTATGTCGTTACATTTGAATGAAATCGATATCCCTGTCAGAGGTTCCTCCAAGCAGTTTGGATGGCCATCTTAAAGGTGGCCATGCCGGAAACGTGTTTAGGTAGATTTATGTTTTCTATTTGTTTGATAACTTTGAGACAAGCAAAAATATCAGAAAATAAAATACCTCCAATGAATACTGTTTTTCCTTTAAATTTCATGGCCTAAATTCATAAGAGATTGATCTTATTTTCTTAATGATATTTCCGAATAAAGCTTTAATTATCTTGGTATTGCGTCTTGATAATATTTTTTGTCATTGGGTTGAAAAATTGTTGTTTATTTTATAATATCTTAAATTTCATTGTCTAATACTTAAATTTGAAATCAATTAATTGTAAATTCGTTGTTTTGGACATATTTATGATTGTATTCTGTAAAGAATTGTGAGCCTCATTTCGTTAATGTTTCTAATATATAATTGATATTAACAAAAAGCTTGATCTTCATCAAATCTGTTGTTTGCAGTTATTTCATGAATAATTTATTCAAATGTTTGAATTTCCTGTTTTATTTACACTTTCATCTTAGTTCCTTGACGTAAAATAAACGTGGATCTCCCGAAAGCGATCTTGAATTGCCTAGAGAAATCATAAAAAATTCTGTAAATCCCCAGGCGATCATTACTTTTTTACCGTCTTAGTGGGGGGGATGCACGTAAGTTTGTTGCAGATACAATGCAAAATGCTTTGGATTACACGGACAGCCGTGTTTATGTGTTGCATTGAGGTCTTATTCTGTTTTTTTTTCTCACAAAAAAACTGCTCATAATTTCAACCGATTATTCTTACTCGTACGCTGAGAATTCCTACCCATAATTCATTCATACCAAAACAAAATCAGCCTCCTTAATTATCTGAACATTATTGACCAGAGAAAATTTAATTTTCTACAATCATCAAGCAGTATTTTGAGATCGGATAATGACCACGCCCAGCTAGCCCAAGAACTTTGTCCCGTTTCGAAATTGGAACATGTTGTAGTTTGGCCAGGCGCTTTACAATGACGTTTTTATTGCTGTGAGACACTTTGTCTAAACAAAAAAAGACAAAGGCACTATCCTTGTGTAACAACATTTCCTAGATAGTCATTTTAACTTTGCGAACAGGTCACTGTTATTCTGGCCTGGTTCATAAAGTTATGAACTGAGACCAAATTACAGATGTTTGATGGGGCAAGAGTTTGTGCTCAAGTGACCATATCTCAGCCAATTCGTAATAACTTTGACTGGTTTTGCACCTTTGGAGAGTATAGGTTCCAATGAGAGTTCTGATTACATTCAAATTCTCCATACCAAATTGGCCAATCAGGTGTTCAAGAATTTGACAACAAACTTGCTTCGCCGCTAGATTTAGGGCTATTTTTCACATTTTATTACCACCCACAAAATTTTCATTTGCCAGATTGATAATTTGATAAATTTGGGAAAAAACCATAGCAAGTACATGTCAATTTATTCGCATATCGGCAGGAGGAGTGCCTGTGTAACTGACGTGGATAAACGCTACATTTTACCAGAAAAAGTGCAGCTCTTCTATCTTATAAAACCTATGTTCATTAGGAGGTATTTTTCTTGACACCTTCCTAGGCTATAGGATCAAAACTGAAAAATTCTAAAAATATATGCTGTGACGTAATCACTTTGGTACTCTACAAAACTTCTGTTTCCATTCCATACTCGTAGTTTCGTCTGTATTTCGACGAGTGATTCTTCGATTATTCAGTGCACGTTTTCTGTTCATTCAACTTTATCCTTGGCCAAGCCTAACTTACAGTAAATCCAGGATAATTGAAGTTTGAATATTTTGATACAATAGTTTAATATTTTTCAGCAATACTGTAGATTTTCAAGGCATAACAAGGCAAAGTGACACCTTTTTTGTTCTTTTGAAATGTTCCATTCACTGTCAAAAGCAACTTTAATTTATTTAAATCCTTTGCAAAGACACCTAGCCAAAATGGGATAATATTTGAGATCCAATGTAAATATTAATTGATATTATCTGACAGAATAAACTCAATATTTTCACTCGATAGTAGCCTGCACGTGTCTTTAATTCCATTAGTCTTTGTCAAAATGCTTAGTTTCCGAAACCTGCCGTTATGGTAGACGTCAACTTCCAGTTAAATGCCTAGCCTTTTCAAATGCAATTGCGTTTCATTAAAGCGGCATGGCAACTGGATGGTATCTGTGGTCAATTTCCCTTATCCTCCCCTTTTCTACCGAAAATTTTCTGGCCAGGTTGAATATCCTGAAGGCGGTTTTTAAAAGGAACGACTTTCAAGGACTGCACAGCCATTGGCCTAGCACCCTCACCCCCCCCCCTTCTTTGCAATAATAGGTTAAACATTCAAATATGGAATTGTTGTAATCAATATTTATGTCAATCTTATATACTTTATCATTACGGTAAATGTGTCGATATATAATCACTCACTGCTAAACTGTCGCTCTTCAAATTGTTGTTTAGAGAGAATGAAGGCGTATGTTTCGACTATATTCTGAAGAGAATTACAAATTTCAAGCCTGCAAAACTTCGTACCATAGGCAAAGTGGTAACTGTTTGTGAGCCTCTGCGTGTCAAACGCAGAAACGAGTGTATCTGCGGGGAGATCTTTCTCAACGGCTAGACGACAAAATCCTGGCTCCTTTTTAAAATAAAAAGAAGCAAGACTTAATAACCTTGCAACATTGCTGAAGAAGACCATCAAATGATTGTTGACAACATCTGGCAATGACTTTACTTCGGGAAATTTGTTCAGTTGGTCATCATTAATGTTTCTTTATTGCGTAAAGGACATTTTTATTGGTTTAGGGTCTTACGTACATGCTTTAGTAGTTTTTAGAGGGAGGCTTTTTGGTGGAAGAATTTAGCTGCCTGGTGCGCAGTGCTTACGAAAGAAGTTCGATTGTGTTTGATACGAGTCTTGTCTCTTTGGTCCTCTCTGCCTCAAGACAAGTTGAAAATTCCGTGCGTTATTTTATATATTTTTGCTATCCTGCCTGATAACGGGCTACTATAGGTTCTTTATAAAAAAAGTGTGTGAGAAATGATCTGCCTCATAGGTCTATCATACGGACACAATACTGTGGCAAAATAAATAAATTGTGTGAGAAATGCTGACCAGCCCGTTCGCTTTCTGTATGTCGCTTTGAGCGTTCGCTTTCTGCACAAATAAAAAAATATGATGAAAGATCTAACTTTTGCATCTCGTCGATGTCCTAATTGCGATAGAGTCCGGTCGCCATAAAGGGGTCTGGCACTAGCTTTTGGAATGTTATTCGTAGCCAATCTGCAACAACAGCATTTCCATTGTGTTCGAGCAACAGAACGTGTCCACCCTATTTGGATTTCGTCGCGGATTTCGTCGCTGATTTCTTCAGCCCTCCCTTGTTCAAGTGCTGTGATCGGATAAACAAAACAAATGAGCTATGTAAAATCAATATCAATGGTAGAACTGGAGTCTCCTAGACGGCGAAGTAGGCAAGAAAGTGCACATAACTTGCGCCATATGTATAACAGTCTGGCTGAATGAAACTCTTGAATTGTCGTGAATAAGTTGTTTACGATAGGAACCGTTATCTTTACCCTGTTTTTACCCTGAATTAGCACAGCCAGCACATTCCATACGGTTAGACCCCTTTGTTTTCTTTTTATCGCTCATTTTCTTTCTAATTGCTTCGTATTTCCGATTAGAATTCACATACACTGGTGTGGTCTTTGAAACTAATGATAAGGGGATATGTCTCTTGTCCGGGGGGAGGAAAGAGTGATGTGACGTATGTTCGATGTTTTGAGGGAAGATATGGAATGTAAACACTGGATCCCCCTTTGAGCTAGTTCAGTACCTGCCAGGGATCTGGGCATTACGTTCTTTCAGTATTTTGAATCGGGGTTTCAAATATTATTGTATTTAGTGAACGGGGTAAGAAAACTTTCCATTTGTCTTCAAAAGTCTTCCACCCCTATACCACGACTTACCTAGTGGTCGTATTCAAGTCTTTGAATTCATAAAGTGGACTACATCATTATGGAAAAGAAACTGCAAGCCATAAGCTTTGATGGTACAATGAAATAGAGGTCCCACATGTGTCACATTTGAGTCCTTGGCTATTTGCTTTGCATGCACACCATTGCAAGTAATGGCAAATACTTATGTATGTGGATGGTATTATCGCATTTGTGGCTTGAAAATCAGGCGCATCGCTAAAGGGGGCTATGGGGGCGCTGTACCACAGGGTTTTGCCACGTAAAATAAGACGTTTTCTCACTCTGTCGTATAATTGTACCTTTTTGCTATAGTTGTAGCATATTAACATTTCTGTAGCAGTTGAACTTTCCTAGTATGGCACTAAAGTATGAATTTTGAAATAGAAACACACAAAGAAGCATATAAGATTAATTAACTTGAGACCACACCCATAAAGAGCGAGACACGCTTTTATTGTCCTCAAAAGTCATTTCTGTAACCCTCCGAAAAAAGATTGTTGGCTTCGCTCATGGATAAATGTGGTCAAAGAATAAATACTCTTACATGCTGCTTTTATGCGTTACTTTTTCAAACTTTATGATCTAGTGCCATACTTTGAAGTTCAACTACACAAACATTTCAATATGTTACAATTGTTGCAGAAAGATTGCAGAGAGAGTGCAAAAATTCCATCTTTTTCTCGGCAAAAATCCTTAATGTGCCGACGAACAAAATGTACCGCTCCCCACCCCGAAGCCTCTGAAGATCCGAGGGGCAAATCACTACTGAAAATGATGTACGAGATTAAAAATCACGAGTGAGTGATTAAAGTGATTAATTTGTGATTAAAGTGTGATTATTTTTAAGAGCGTACGTGATTTTAAGCAGTGATTTGCCCCTCGTGAAGATCAGTTACCAAACATTGCAAAATGTCAGATGGTTGCCTCAATTTAACAGACGAAACCAGTCCAGATATAATTTATTTTTACTTTGATAAAGCCCTACATGCCTGGGTGAATTATTAGCTTACTTATGATCTAGTTTTAATATTTTGGCTTTCCATAAAGGATTTCTTCATATTATATTGGATTGCATCGATTTGCGGTGTTGACTAAGTTACTAACCGTCTCACAACAAATGCCATGTTTATTCACCTAAGAAAAATTTACAACCAAAGCAAACTGAAAACTCATAATTTATTTATACAATTGAATGCTTGCAAAATTCATGTTCGATGTGTCAACAACAGCACGAATATGATTCTGAAATTACAAATTATCTAAAGGAAATCCAAAGATACAATTATGGCATTAGGAGGGTCAGCAGTGTAAAATATACTCTCTGGAAGTTTTCAACTTAAGCAAGGTTAAGCAAGTTATGAAAAGCGAGCTTAGAATTAAAAGTATAAGAATTAATACATAAAAAAAATAAACAAATAATTGTATCTTTTCTTAGCAGCATACTTTAGTTGTTATATCTTAAGACTTATTTTAGCTGTTTTTGTCAATTGTTTGTGGGAATTCTTCGTTATTGGAAATATAGTGCATTTGGTTAAATTAAGCCTTTAATTCAAAGCTGAACACTCTTGTAAAAATGCGCCTACGTGTTATATAAGAAATCGCTCAAAGCTGTTTTTAAAATGGTCTAAACAGAAACATATACAGAAAAACTCTTTTGCTTTGTTACGTCAACATTCTACATTTTTGGCATGTTTTCTAAATATTCATTTGAAAATTATTGATTTCCTCAAATACTATTTAACGAAACAACCCATTCTGGAAAATTAATCCATTCAACCTGCAGAAAGCAGTTTCTGATTTCACACAATGTATTGCAGAGTTTGGTTAATGTAGTTAGCAACCTTAGTAAAAGATATAGCTAGATATTTGTTTAAGATTGTGTAACTTAGTCGGAATAAAGATCCCTTCTTACTTCATGAAGAGGGGTAGTGGACAAGGCGAAGTGGCAGCTTTCAGAAATACAGTTAATAGAGACTCGTAGAAACCTATGGACAATGCGGTATTCTGTAACGCTTTGAAAATATAACGCTTTTATTGCGATTATTTTCCCCTATAATGTTTCTGCATCGAAAACTATGCGATTATATTAAATCTCCCGAATTGGTTTCTTACAGGAAATGGCCTTGAGTGCAATTTTTCATCGCCTTATTCAGTCTCATATTTCAGTGGTCGTTAACATGTTTGCTTTAATTCCAAGCATGAAATACAAGGAGATAAATCTCTCAAACTGACGTATGTCTTTCCTTGTACTGTTGTTGTCTACTGTACTTGGAATTCTATACAAAACACTGAAAGAACTTAACGCCATTTTTAGGTCCTCCACTCCATTTAGCCCATGAAACCATCGTATGTTTACATTCCAAAAATGTTTACACCCCTGTCAAGGCGACATATCTGGCCCTCGATTGCTTAACATTGCCCCAGGTTGTAGGTAATGGAATGCTTCAATATTCGGGCACTGACTCGAAAAATGGATTGGATAGGGCTGATATGGGTCTAAGAAATAATTAATAAGACATTGCTCTGTTTTGAGACCAATCGAATTGCTGTTTTCTACATTATGATCAACGTTAGGAGAAATTAGCAAGGAAGGAACTCTTTTAAAAGGAGAAATTTGCAAGAAAAGCCATAAGTTTCTCGAGGGGAAAATGGCTCTATGAAAATCTCGAAAAGATTTGGTAAAAATCCTATTGCTTCATCAGAGAATCTCTGAAAATCTTTTTGTTTGGTAGAAATTTCGTACGTTATTTGCAAAATTGAACTGCCCTTCGACGTTTCTAAAGTCAAAAGAGGCACGCAAATTGACACTGTCAGTTCTCAAACCCTTCTCGATACCCCTCCCCCCTCCCCCGCCCCCTTTGTATGTTTCAAAGCGTTGCTTGGGGCTACCTAAGGGCTTATTGTTCTCTTGGTGCTCTTTATTCTCTTGGGGCTCTTTTTTATGTAACACAAATCTCCCCAAAGGACTCTAGAAGGAAAATACTGTGCATTACCCCCTGATTTGTCGCCGCATTTCAAAAGATCCAATCTCTATTCTACCAAAACTATTTCCACACGATAACGAACGATAACAAACAATGTCTGCATAACCGTCAACTAATGTTGTCCTACAAACTTGGATCCTTCTCGGCCGCGTGATTTTTCTCGTTATGTTTGTTTTGTCGAGCTATGCAGATGATGTCCAATGTAGGCATGCAAAGAGAAACTTGCTGTTTAATCTGTGACTTGCGTATTGGAGTGATTGTTTTAGCAATAACAGGCATGGTAAGGCTTTAACTCGATTTTGTTTATTACTAGTCCTTTAATTGCTTTGAAGTCGCAAACCAGAAGTGTAAGGCGATACTAGAAACAAAACTCGTGCTTCATGCGAGCATGGAGTTGTTTGTTGAAAGACACTGTCAAATACAGTACATTTAATTGATTGCTCTGATCTGGGCTTATGTCTCATCTCGCTAAATTGTGTCATTGAGGTCGCTTGTCCCGTTATGCATCGCAAGAAGCAATGGTGAATTAATTGATCATTACTTTCAAAAGCATCTCCGCTAAGTCGTCGAATATAATGGAGGAGGTTTTTTAAATTATCCTCTTCTAATCATAATTAAACATGTGTATATCAAAATTTAAGAAAAATGTTTGATTTTCAAGGTTTTTAGGCAGGACTTTTCAATAAACGTTGACTTTACAATCAATCGTAGAAGCATATGATAACATCGAACCCATAATTAATTTGTCAATTTTCTGCAACGGATTACTCTTGGGACCAAGGTAAGCTTTGAAACTGATCAACAAAGGAGTGAATGTCTCTTGGGACGAATTGTTGGTACTTTGTTAAACAAATTGTCACCTTTAGTGGCACCTTTAGAAGGAACCTTCTGTTCGGACCATATACTCCAAAAGACTACCCAAAATAGCGCCCTCAAGCAATTCTGAAGACAGAATCACTTGAAATTTTGTTATTAAAAAATTTGACGTTTAAAAAGATTTTGGTCATTTCACAGCATAATAAGCCAAAAAATAAATGAATTCCCACGAAATGAATTCCTAATGAAAGACCATGTTACAACCAGACTTGCTAGCTGTTTCGAATTTTCTTTTCGTTGGTGTTTAAATCTTTAAAATTTAAAATTGTTGAAAACTTTACACGGATTTAAAGAGAGAAAGGTTAATTAGAAATAAGAAAACATGCATCCCCGTGTTTCTTTATCGGTTTTGCTTTTCTTCACTAACACCACAATTCATTTCCCTTTATTCAAAACCTTTACCCTGAATAAATTACACGACCTGACTCAATTAGAAATGAATGAAAAATATAACCCTTAAAATGATCAGAATTTAATTCAATAAATGTAAATAAATCAACTTTGAAAGTTGTAATCCAATGAATTTTCCTTTTCTATTACGAATTTCATTCATTTCTTGATTTTTGCACAATTAAACATATTTCATTGTTTTAATCAAAAGTCTTATTTACATGTTAGGCTGGCTTTTCGCTTCGTTCAGCTTATTTTGTAATATTTTTCAATTTCACTGAGCGCATTGCTATAGGCCTATAAATTATCAACAACCAAACAGCACAAATTAAAAGCAACGAACGAATTAGTAAATCAAATATTTCGCATTTTCCAAATAGCAATTTAACCATTTCCCGCCTTGTTTTGAATCAAAATAGAGCTTTATATGGGCCCCCTCCAAATTCGGGGTAATAACAAAGCCATTAAACGCCTTTTAAGTTACAAGTGGCAGGTGCCCCTCCAACCGAAAATCCATCTGCCCCCTCCCCCCCTCCTGTAAATTCCTGTCACAGTTTCTAGCCATGGTAGCCTTGCAGTTTTCGGTGCTGTTTTTAGTGAAGGAAAAACATCAAGCTCTCTCGATGGAGGCAGGCTTGTCTATTGAAGGCTAGCATTTACCTGTGGAAGGTTGCTCCATTCGATTCTCTCTACGTGGTCTGCCCTTGAAGTATGTAGAGGACATTTTCTTTTATCTCAATGTTGGCCCACCTATGCCTGTGCTGAATGCATTTAGTAATTAATTTGAGGAATCAACAGCTTGCTCTTTTGTAGTGGAGTGAGTAATATCTTATAGAATATCATCGTGTTGTGATTTGCGGTTAGTTCATTGTAAATCTACGGTGTGTCATATTCGTTGCAAAAATCTTGGTTTTTTAATCCAATTTTCATCCTTTCTGTCGATATCTGAAAAGCTCACCTTAACCCAATTCCTCTGATCGATCCGTTGAAATAAGACTCTCTGATAAATAGGCATATAGACTTTAATCTAGGATGAACTTTAAATCGTGAATAGCATTCGTTGTCTGATAAATATAAAACGCAAATGGCCCAATGGGACGTGCAACAAGGATTGATATTCAATAAATATTAAATGGTCATTAAGATATCGCTTCCCTTTAATCGGCGACTCAGGATAATCAATTAGCGAGTGAAAATTCTCCACCCCTATCGCTAAACAGTCACAACAAGCGCCTACATTTCAAGTTTCTTCCAAGCGAGTTTGAAAAGCCAGTACGATTTCATCTTTATTTAGAACGTAAAGATTGGCAAAATGATGACGTCACAAAAATCTATTTTTTCATTTTTTTCATTTTGTACATATAACCATATAACCTGAAAGGATACCCTAAGAATACCCCTCCTATAACCAACGTGCAAATTCGACTGGAAATGTTGGATTTGAGATACGGCAACAAGCTTCTCCTCTATCAAGCCAATGTAGTTTGACCTTGGTTCTAAAACTTATTATCCAAGTGAACAAACTGTCTGGTTTTCCCAGTGTCTTAAGGAAAGAAATCAGGGCCACTAGGGGGAAAAGTTTAGTTTAGGGTAAGGAGCCCCCCGTTTTACTATGCCCCACCTGCTTTCCTTTCTCCCGTAGGCTATGGTCCCCTTGGCAAAACAAGACATTGTAACTTTGTGGTGAATGGTGATCGAGGACCCCTGGGAGTTTAATGTTAGAAGACCATATCAGATTTCAGCAGCTTTAAAGATGCGGTAATCATATTTTTACAAAATCTTTTCAATGGCATGGTTTGGTATTGGAACCCTGCCTTCTCTTAGCTTTAAGATGGAGGGTCCTGCAACGATCAATTCACCACATAATTGCGTAACGCCTGTCGCATTAAACAATGCTGAATGAATTGTTTTGTATTTCATGCTTGAGGGCTCCCACAAGACTCCTTACTCTTCCCTATCCTTTTCATTGGCTTTATCTTTGCATTCGTAAGAGTTGTGTTTACATGAATGTGTTAAGATAAATACTATGCTGATCAAATAGCACATTTCTATAACCTGTCTGTGTCAATGACAATAGTAATGCCGTGGGTACGCCATCGCAGAGGCAACGATAAACCCGTGTTAATCTTAATCATTTCCTTGTTTCTATGATTTTCATTCACCAAAATCACCATCATGGCGGTAAAAACTTGCGTAGAGTTAAGGAGAGGGCAAGGCCCTTCTGAAGACGTTTAGTGGGTCTACTCCACTTGAATTGAAAATTTGTCTCAGTTTATGCGGGTAATATTGTGCGTAACTTTCCATTCTGTTTGACTCTATTTGGAGAAGAGAGAAGTACATCTTTAGTTATTTCTCCCATTGTTACACGGATTACGAGTACTATAGACAATTATTATCAACTAAACGCCCCTGTTTGCAAGATTCTGTTTCAGAAGCCAGTATTAATTTGATTGGGCCACTAATTGGATCTGTAGATAATTATGTACCGTTGTAGACTGTTATTTTTATGTGGGTTTTTTGTGATTTGACCTACAAGTTGATATTGGATTCTGTTACCATGACGCCATCAAGGAAAGAAAATGACTCAGTAAGGTTAAAAGATGTTTTTGATCTATACGAAGTTAAAGGCAATCTGTCTCGTTGTGGATTGGTTAACGAGAGCTATAGCTGGAACAATAGCCTAAACACGATTCCAGCACTCCGCCATATTTTTTACAATGCGATAAATTAAAGGGGGACTGGAAACAATAAAAGTCTCTTTGTTCTTATAATCAATCAACGTCGTGACAGATTGCCTTTAAGAGATATTTTTGATCTGTGCGAATTTAAATCCGAGTGTAACAGAGTTTTAAATGTGACGTCACAAAAAATTATTTTTTTAAAGGTTTTGAATTTGATCACATAACATAAAAGAACAGCATAAAATACTTCTAAAAGTGTAAAATCAGCTAATTGTATCAAAAGTTGGATGAGATATGGCGAATAGAAAATTTGAAATTTGCTAACGGATTCCTGTTATTTTGGCATTAAGTTATGAGCAGAGACAAAATTACAATGGTTTGATGGAGCCTGTGCTCACGTGACCACATCTTAGCCCATTTGCAACACATTTTACTGATTTTGCACATTTCATGATGCTTATTCAGTTTATCGGATTCAAGTTCAAAAATTGTGAAAAAAGTTTTTTGTGACATCATTACGTGAAAATCTATGGACCAATTTCACTATTTTATTTCACTATTCACAATTTCACAATTCCAATATTTGTTATTCTCTATTTCCAAGCACTTCAATGATGGCACTGGCACGAAATAGCCTCCTCCCACGTGGTTTTCTATCTACGCCTCGAAAAACTGGCTACATTCGGTCTTTGCCCGACGTTTATACTCTGTCGGACGAAAAGTGCTTCAGTGTGCTATCTTTCTTTCTATTTCGTGCCATCTCCAAATTTTGCGGTACCAAAAACCTATGTAGTAAAATATGATTTTGTAAAAAATGAGGGAGATGCTGCTTCAACCTGGATCACCATGACACCATGACCGAACAGAGTGTGGAACTGAGGGAAGATGCCCCTCAGAAATTTTGAAGGGTTGGTTTTTATGATGTTTCATAATCTGCATGAAAGCAATAGGGTAGGGGAATGTTAAAATCTTACAGTCAGATTAAAAAGGACTGAATTACAACCAACCTGTGCTGGAACAATTAAAACTAGGTTTTGAACTACTTTTTTCATTATCTAACAATGTGGCCAATGTGGCAACAATGTTTCATTATCTAACAGATCCGACGTAGGCCTTTTACCTCACAAAAACATGGGCTCCGACAAAGGTTAAAAAGTGGGGGGGCCAAGGGAAAATTTAACACCCATAACAAAAGATTTTGAAGAAAAACTATTGTTTTGCAAAAAAGTGGGGGGGGGGCCAAGGCCCTTCGTCGGAGGCCCTGAAAAAGAGTGGTATTTTTCTTGCGGGCTAAAACGCCATGCCCTTGGTAGGGTAAAATAAACGTTCTGAATAAAAGCTCAACTCGTCGCTTAAAACCTCGTTGTCATTAGGATGTGTTTCTCTTGAGCCCTTGCACTTTCTCGTTGCTATAGGAACCCTAGCATGGTTTTTGACATCATTTTGTCAGCTACCACTTAATGACATTCATTTTAAGATCTTGACGATGTTTTAACAGCTCTTGTGTTTATTTCTTACTCTTTCAAACATCGAGAATTCTTCTAAATCAAGAATAGAATATTATATTGATAGCTTGCCATCTTATCTTAAAATTCAATTTACCTGACCAACACGCCCTTGACGTAGGGAGTCACAGGGATAAAAATAGTCATTTGCGGCCATGAAGCGAAACCACGTCAAAGCAAGTCTGTGTTTTGTCTCTTTGCGATTATCTCTGTTTTGCTTTCTATCTGTTTATTTACAAGACATTATTGTGTCTTCTGAGACTCCTTCCACAAGGCAATCTTGCCCAGCTCTGACCTCAAAACATGCATACATACTTTTCAAACTTACGGCGTTTTGCCTTCGGTTTCTTTTTGCCGCATATGTCTTGTCAAGCTTATTCTACCCGACTCGCAAAAGTCATATTTATTATACCCGACTCGCAGCTCTCTGTAATTCCAGGCATAGGAATCACGAGGTGCGGTCACATCGAGAGGAAGGACCAGGACACTGCTTGACAAGCATAAGCTTCTCAGTGTCCTAAAAACTACCTTCGGATGCTAGGTAGAAACAAATACAAATTACAAATACAAGTACCTACCGAATGAAATGACAAATTAATATAAGGATTACTCTCAATCTAATGAACTCTCAACGCCACACACGAGAGCACAAAGAGCTTGAGCATGTTCAGTTTAATTGATGACTGCACAGAAATCTAACGACATTTACCTCTTTTCTGTTCATGAATATTAAACAATTTACAGTATGGATTGCATGCAATTTTAACTCTGCAAAATGTTTGAATTTCATATCTACAAACTTCAAAAACTTTAAAAAAAGGTTTCACTCTTTGTCGTTTTTATGTTTCCTTTTAATAAGTTATCCTGATCGCATATTCAGGATACCAGTGTCTAAAAGATTTTCCAATCTCAATTTTTAACAATTAGACAAAGTATGAGTTTTAAGGCATGACAAAAGACCATATCGGAGTTCACGACGCCATGATACAAGTGGGGCGAAAACCACAATAAATAGCGGCCTTGAGATTTGTAAATTCCTTTGTTGCTCAAACAAGGTTCATTGTTCATCAATAAAATTCAGATTTTCATTCCAAAGTATTTTTGGCCAAAAAGTGGAAGAGTAGCCTCTACCCACCATTATTTTTTCGCTGTTTTGCCCCACCTGAGGGATTGAAACTACAATCCCGGACAAAAATGGTTGAGACTTTTCAAGAAAAGCTTATATTTTCACTTTCCTTTAAAAAATAACTTTCCCACCTCCCCCAATTCAATGTTGAACGCATGATTTTGAAGAAGAAATGATAGAACTACAAATCCAACATTGCTTCAGGGGGGAAAAGGGGATTCGAATTTACAGGGACAAGGTAAAGTAAAAAACTACAAAAATTGCATTTTGTCTCAACATTTTTGTCCGGGATTGTAGCTATAAAGCAACAAAATTGCATTATGGCGTCGCGAACTCGGAGATAGTCCCTTTGAAAAAGCTAGCAATGAAATAATTTAAAATTTATCAGTATTCAGATTTGCCTTTGTTAAAACAATTGAGAACAACAGGCAAATGCTTACGAGCTTACGAGCCAAATGCCATTAGGTTTAGTAGATGGTCCACAGAATAGAAAGATCTGGGAAGTTAAATGTAAAAAATTTGATGATATAATATGGCCCTTGCGTGGGGGAGTTGCAATTCTGACATATGGTCCAATGGGAACTACACGGGGTAAATACTACACCCCTTGCATTTTGGGTCTAGTGGATATAACTTGTACCATTATTTATAAAGTCTTGAAGAACTAAATTATTAAGTCTTCCTTTGCATACCTAAAATCAATTCAATTTTGACGTTATTTTCTTGGCTCAAAAATTAATTTGTTTTAAATATAAAGTACCTTGCAATGCATCTTGGGTTAGCTTAGTTTTTTCCACTAGACCCAAAATGCATTTCGTCAATCTGTAGGCAGAATTCAAGCTTCAAGTTGCTCGGAAACTGTCTATGATATCGAACTCCCTCAAAACACGAGGATGCTCGAGCTATTATCAATCAAAGGTTCGCCCTTCACTGAAAGGAACTGCTTATCAAGTTGTTTTGAAAGTACCTCTTAATTTTTAGATTTCAGGATTATAAAGTTTATCAATAGAGGAAAATTGACCGCTAAAGATCCAGGTTCGGTTTGCCAGCTAAACACGCTTTTGCCTCATCTGAACTGGCTTTTTATAAAGCGCTTTTACCACAATCGAAGAATAATACTGTTTTGATGTTCATTGAATTTAGTTTACAGAAAAGTAATTTCCGTGAAATTAATGCTGAAAACCACAATGTATCTTTCGAATCTGGATTTATTTTAACTGATCAAAATAACCAGGTTTTTCTTTCATTCATAAATGAAGTTTACACGGGGGTTTGTACACGTTTTCCTTCAAAATCGGCCTTCAAAATGGTTTAAATAGTTTGTATTTTGAAATGAATACACCTTTTTGGCGGGAGAATTTTATAAAAACCTGTTACGAAAATTAGATGTAGAGTAGACCATAGCAGGGATGTAAATTGGCAGATATTTGGGGGGTGAAGGGCTCAAAATTTCCAACTGACAAAGGTCAATTCTAATTTTGCATGAGGGCCTAAACTTTAATAGTTTTTTACCAACAAAACCTTAATTTCGTTTCGTTTCTTGATTTCGTGATTTTGTTTCTTGATTTCGTGATTTTGGAAGATCAAACATGAAGACTATTAGTTTAATTAGTGCATCAAAACATACGTACAGTCCAAAAATCAGATTTTCAATTTTTCTCCTTCTACGACTTGCCCATTGTTCCACTATCTTATCTAAATTTACGTTCTCCAAAATGTCTTTCTCGCAAGTAAGAATCATGGGGTCGTTTAGCCTTTCACAGGGGCGGCGCCAAGAGATTCAAAGTGGGGGAGGGGGGCTCGAGTTGATAGAATTATTAGACTAAAGGACCATCTTTTGAAAAAAGCACTAAAACGCTTAACGATATTTTATGCCTATTATTTTATGGGGCCCTCATTATGCTAGCGGTACGTTTGAAGGGGCCGGCGGGAGGTTGGCGGAGGCCTTAAGGATTTTCGAAAGAAGTGGCTTCCCTGCGAGCGAAGCGAACAGAAAATTTTCACAAAAACGCTTTTTAGATTAGCTTAAAATACATTTCAGAATATTTTTTGCAGGTAATTTCTTGCAATCGTTTAAAACATTTTGTTATTTTTAAATCATTCTCTTTTTTAAGTTTTAAAATTGAATTCATTACTTCATGAGGCCCCATAGACCTCGGCGTATTCCTTGGAAATTAAGCAACTAACGAATTTGTTGGATTGTTAATTTTCTTTATATCTTTTCCTTTACTCGTTCTATTTGCTTAAAACACATTTTTGCAAAAAAGTGGGGAGGGGCTGAAGCACCCAGCTCTCCATCTGGCGCCGCCTATGTTTCATCGGTCGATCTCGAACGGAGAAAGTACTTGACAAGTCATGGGAAATGTACTGCGCTTCTTCAAGCATTACTGATAAATATTGTTTAAAAATTCTATTTTGTATCCCGTTTTTAGAAGCAATTTGATGGAATGATTATCGCACTATCCCCATTTCGACGAATGTAGTTGAAAATACTTGCATTTTCATACAAAACTTCGTTTTTTCTGTATTGCGTCGCCTCTCATTATTTTAGGACTGCCTTTTACCAAACAACTATTTTCTTTTGAACTAATACCTTTATTATGCTTCTCTTTGAGCTACAGTTCGCAAGGTCATTTGAGTCAAAACTTCAATTTTCACAAATTATTCAAATTTTTCCGATTAACCTAGCTTTCTACCAACAGCTTTAGATTTTTTGACTGTCCTCAAATTTTCCGACTGGATGAAAGATTGGGGGGGGGTCACAACCCCCCCCAAACACACACACACCCCAGTATTTACGTGCCTGGATTATATGCTATTAAATAGGGACTTAAAAGCAATGTTTTACAAAAAATTGATACCCTTCTGAAATATCTGTTTTCCAAAAAAGCGTGAAACAGCAGCGATTTTTTTTGGCTCTAATTATCAAAAAGTACTTCTCAAGTCTTTTCATCAGATCCTTTTGCTAAAATTAAATCAAGCAGAAAAATTGAAAACCTTATACATGATTTAACTGTAGATCGATTTTCTTCTACTCTATTACATCGCCAGGTACTTTTTTGTCAAAATGGTAGATAAACAGAGTTTACATTCGGGTTGGAATAAATTAAGTAGCGATGCAGACATGTTTCATATCGTTGATAAATAATATTTTTTGCTGCTTCAATTAGCAGTCTGAACGCCTTTAATTTTTTTGAAAGATAAGGCCTATCTGATAGAGATGTATCCAGAGATATTTAGGGAGCTAATTTCTATTAATATATTTCTTATTAGAGATTATTGCTGACCGTTCTGCTCTATAATGTTTAGTACCAGACAACGTTGTTGATACTTTGAAGTTAAAACCAAGTGGCTCTAAGCCGCGACCCGGAGTTTGACGCTTCATGAAACGCCCTCTTCACTGAGGACCCCCTATTCTTTCTCATATTGAGCACCCTCTCCCTGGGTAAGCAACAGAGTTTACCGGGGGACCAATCAATGACGTCACAATTTCCAACGTAGCATCTAAGAGACATTTTTTTCTTATTTGCAGATTGAAAGTGGTCAGCAGATTCTTGTCTCCTTCGCACTGGCCGTATCCCATTCCCCAAAATTCTCGGAATTTCCAAGCAGCAATGTCGCACTTCTTCATGTATATACGGTGTTCCAAATTGTTTCCTTCATATCAATATTATTCGGACTCTTCAGCGTCGTCTCACAGGGCAGGATGTACAGAAGAGCGCTGTTATTATGGATCATCTCAACAGTCCTCATTTCTGGTATCCAAATTATCTATTTGTTTTACGTTGTTGCTTATTTCAACAGAAAGGTATTCTCGCTAATTGCCCTAACTTTTGTGTTATGCTTCGTGCCAAAAAACGCCTTTTTCTCGTTTGTCGTTTATAAGTATTACAAACTGGTCCTTTATGGATTCATCTCGCCGGACTACGACGAGCTTGATTTTTCAAAGGAGACTATCAGAAGGTCACGTGCAGGCAGCTCGAGGCGCGAATCACTGCTCACTCTAAAAGATGGACCATGCACTGGGTTAGTGGACACCTATTTAAGGCCGGAGATAGAGTCAAAATCCGGAAGAAAAGTGTCAAACTTTATCTTGAAAGTAATTCCAGAGCTTTCAGAAAGTAAGGATAATTCGTCGGAAAGTAACGAAACACCACACGAAATATTTGAGATGCCGCATCAAGTATAAAGATGATGAGAACAGAAACCTGAAGTGAATTGGCCAATTAGAAGATATTGTTGAGAACATGAGATTCTTGCAATTAATTAGATTTGCGACGTTTTATCTCTAGTGTGCTGGCTGGCTGTTTAAGAAGCGATTCAGAGTCGGTTGCTGACCTCCGGTTTTGGTTGGCCTAAACAATTCCGAGGTGTACGGTCGTACGTATAAAAATGCCTCATTGTAAAGGAATGTGGTTGCTCACACATTTAAAGGTCTGAAAAGTTCTTTACCACAATTTCAAAAACTATTGAGTTTTCTGAAACCATAAACAAAGCATTTAACCTGAATAGAAATGGGCAGCTAATTGCGGGTGAGGATCCCTGCATAAAGTTCGTTGACTAACCCTCATTGGGCGCCATCAAAGAGACGCAAACAAAACAATTTCGGTATATGATGATATATTCACAGTGCATAGTATATCTGTAATATGCAATTTACAATGTACATAGCATCTTGTGTCTTCTTATATTCTAGGTGCTTTAAATTCCATTGATATTGATACAATAAATAGCGGATTTGTTATTTCTTTACGTCTAATGTTCTGCTCCGACAGGAACCGTCTGCATGATTCGTAAGAGTGATATCTCATGAGCTCTAAATCTTTTTACTGTTCAATTGCCCTAAAAGTTATGAAAAGGTCACTTTTTCATCATTTATTCAAATTTTGCTCCATATTCCTTCTTTGAGTGGTCTTCTGAGAACGTTTCTTAAATGGGTTAGTCGGAAAGAGTTAGCCGTATGTGTTAAATGAATGTCAATGACGTGTTAAATGAACCATAGTCAATTGAAAGGAACTAATGGCGGCGAATGCAGATGTTGATCGATATATCTTGTGTTTTGAAACGCAACTTGCAAAGATATACACGCGAATTTTGTTTCATCAAACTCCGCCACAACTGATCGTAGCACCAATTGATTTGTTTTGCATGTCCTTAATTATGCAAGCATCAATGCCCTCGCATAAATTAAGTTCCAGAATTTGTGAGCGGCCTGTAGCAAGCTTTGCCTCATTAATTCGTAGACCCTACCTTCGTTTGGAAGGGGGCTCTACGACGTAGGCTATTATTTCCAAAGATCAGGTTGTTTGTTTTGCGATATTCTCTGGTTGTCTCGTCTCATTGGTCGATAATTATCAGGTACTGTACCTTAGGTTCATCGTTTCTATGATAAAATTAACATTGGTACATACGAGGTCCTGGAAAAGTTAATCATTACTTAAAAACAGTTATAGTAGCTATTTGCATGTTCAAAATCTTGAAAAAAAATTTTAATATTTTTCCATCATGTTGACAACGCATATTAGGGCCTTAGTTAGTTCGTTAGTTGGTTAGTTAGTTAGTTAGTTAGTTACCTAGTTAGTTAGTTAGTTACCTAGTTAGTTAGTTAGTTAGTTAGTTAGTTAGTTAGTTAGTTAGTTAGTTAGTTAGTTAGTTAGTTAGTTAGTTAGTTAGTTAGTTAGTTAGTTAGTTAGCTAACTCTGGATCAGAATAAAAAGTCGAACTTCCAAATTTGCCTCTTTTACAAATCTTTGTGCATTGCTCTAAATTGAGAAGATTTGGTAAGGTGACAATTCAAAGAAGAAGCTTCTAAAGTTTCAAAACATAGCGCTTGGATAATAGAATGCCAAACTGATTATTTACAAAACTATGATGCCTGTTCGTAATAGCTTTAAGATAGTGGTAAGTATATTCTATCAAGAATTAACAAAATCGACATGTAAATAGTGTATTTTTTGTCTCGGTTATAGCGAGTTGTTCGCAAAAACAGCAAAATTCGTTTGAGATTTAATGACACATTTGTGTACATATGAATTCCGTTTTTACCACATTGATTCTTTGAAATGGCTGCAAGACTTTTCCAAAAATTTCTTAGGCTACGTAGCAATCAAATTTTAAGCAAGTCTAAGTGCTTGTGAGTGCTATTTAAGTTGATATCTCCTTATATTTTGTTGAAAGATATATTTACAGTCTCCAGTAAACACTAGTTCACCTTTCGTTCATGGCCTATCGCAAGTCTATGCCAACATTTAAAAAAAACATTATGGCCTATCGCATGTTTTTTTTGTCACAATGCTCCTTCACAACGGACATGCCCTTCCTGTTAATATAGTCTCCATTCCCGGCACCCTTTTCTCCTTCTTCGATCTTCGGTTGTTCCGGGTCAAATTCCAGGCCAAGATCAATTCCCTCGAGAACTGCTGGACCATATGCATCAACCAGCGTTCGTTCCAGTATATCATCGTCTTGCATCTCTTCAATCAAGATGTCCTCAACAAAACCTGCAAGCATTATTTCTCTTTCCTTAACAAACACTGGATCCAACATGGCGTCTTCGTTGAAACTGAACGTTTCATTCAATGCCACATCCAATGGAGTCGGTTCCCAGTTGATCAAATGTTTCGCCAGAGAGGTATCTAGTGGTCCAAGATCTGTAGTAGGAAACCTATACCAGGCATTGGTATCACTGGTATTAAGCAATAAATCTCCTACGTCAAGGTATTTCGATATTCCCCTGAGGAGATACCCGAGGGTCAGTGGCTCGTTCATTGCTAGATTTAAAGTTTTGTCGTGGATTTCTTTCCCACTTTTTAGAACTTCAATAATAGCCTTTGCAACATCCTTTGAATAAACAAAGCTGAATGTTTTGTTTTCAATTCCTTCTGGCAAATGTATTGGTAAGTTCAACGCCTTATGTAGTTTCACCCAGACTTGATACGTCCAGAGCCGACTTGTCGTGTCACGTGGTCCTATTGCATCCGCCAATCGCAGTATTACATATGGAAAGCCACCTCTCTCCCGTTGTTCTTTCAAAGCTTCTTCGCATGCAAGCTTCTGGTCGCCATATTTACTATTACTTGCAAGCTTGTCTCTCAATGTTCGTTCTTCTGGCCTTATCCCGTCCTTTTCAGTAGTCCGGTTTTTGTGTGTCTTCTCGCAGACTTCGTAGATTGCATCTGTGCTTATGTAAATATATAGGGATGTCTTTCCCCTTAACGCGTCAATCATTGACTCCATTTGCATGGGGGTATACGCGCTAAAGTCGATAACTGCATCGTATTTGCCGGACTTTGCTAGCGTCGGACAGGTTTTGCGGATTAGTGTGTCTCTGTCACAGATAATTCTGTGTTTTACATACGCATCAATTCGCTTGTCGGAATCGAAGTATTTGTTACCTCGATTCAGAATCGTAACCTCATAATAATTGTCCATTAAGTTTTCAACGGTTTCGCTGCCTAAAAACCCGTTGCCTCCAAGCACGAGAACCCTTTTTGGGGCAGCGTCTTCTGTTGTCGTTTCACAAACGCAAAGAAAAATTGACGCGATAGCAAGAATTATCTTCATATCTCCTGTCAGCTTGTACCCGAACTAAACTTAGAATGTCATTGCAAAACCGAATCGCGTAGATTGATATGTTCACAGCTTTGTATATAATGTTTAAAGAGCTGTTGCCACGGGCCTATCATTAATTCGTACGTTAACCAAGCTACCTTTTCAATGTACACCAGACAGGCAACTGCATAAATAAAACGATATTGCAAACAATGCATTAATCGATGCAATTCTTTGCGCAAGATGAATCGATCCAAACGAATAATGTCTTTGACTAATGTTGAATTTGATTTCAGGATTTTTGTGAAATTCTTTGACATATAGGTAAAACATATGAAAAAAAAGAAGGCGATGTTTTACATTCTATCACATATTAAAATTGTCTTATTTATATTATGTGATTTTATCAAAGTGCTAAAAACTTGTTTGCTGAACGCCAACTTGTGACCGATATGAGTGATCAAAATCGCTGTCTAGATACTACTTTAACATTAACTTCCTAAAATGCTAAGAATTAAGCCTCAATTTCTATCTGCAGTTTAAAGATTTTTGTGATTACAACCGAGGGGCAAATCACTTCTGAAAATGGTGTACGAGATTAATAATCAATAGTGATTGATTCGTGATTAAATCAATTTTGTGTGTGATTAATTTGATTTTAAGTGATAAAAGTGATTAATTTTTTATTAATTTTTGGTTTTTTAGAAACTGAATCATAGATTCTAAAGTGTTCTCAAATAATTTCATGCTCAATAAACGTCGTCAACGATTTTGCAACATACTATATGAAATTAAAAAAGAAAAATTAGCAGTTCAGCACAGGCGTGGATTCAGAAAACAATTTGACCGTTGCAGATTTGCAAACGAAAAAGATGCAAAAGTTTAATACATTAACAACTAAAAACAGAGATATCTTTTCTGAACAGCAGCATAAGCAAAATACTAAATCAATATTATAGGTTTCCTACATCATGGATGAAGGGTGACAGTAGCCTGAAGTGAAAAACAGTGAAAAGTTGTTGATGACTTTGAATGAGACATCAAGACAAATGCATGTGCTCTCTTCTGTGTGCTGTTACTTTTGATATAAGAATTTGAATATGCATCAAAAAAATCGATCTTTCCTGAACATTAGCATTAGCAACATGGAAGCAAATAGCCTGGAATGAAAAATAGTGAAAAGTTGTTGATCACTTTGAATGAGACATTAAGACAAATGCATGTGCTCTCTTCTGTGGGCTGTTACTTTTGATATAAGAATTTGAATATGCATAAAAAAATCGATCTTTCCTGAACATTAGCATTAGCAACATGGAAGCAAATAGCCTGGAATGAAAAATAGTGAAAAGTTGTTGATCACTTTGAATGAGACATTAAGACAAATGCATGTGCTCTCTTCTGTGGGCTGTTACTTTTGATATAAGAATTTGAATATGCATCAAAAAAATCGATCTTTCCTGAACATTAGCATTAGCAACATGGAAGCAAATAGCCTGGAATGAAAAATAGGGAGGAGTTGTTGATCACTTTGAATGAGACATTAAGACAAATGAATGTGCTCTCTTCTGTGGGCTGTTACTTTTGATATAAGAATTTGAATATGCATCAAAAAAATCGATCTTTCCTGAACATTAGCATTAGCAACATGGAAGCAAATAGCCTGGAATGAAAAATAGGGAGGAGTTGTTGATCACTTTGAATGAGACATTAAGACAATTGCATGTGCTCTCTTCTGTGGGCTGTTACTTTTGATATAAGAATTTGAATATGCATCAAAAGAATCGATCTTTCCTGAACATTAGCATTAGCAACATGGAAGCAAATAGCCTGAAGTGAAAAACAGGGAGGAGTTGTTGATCACTTTGAATGAGACATTAAGACAATTGCATGTGCTCTCTTCTGTGGGCTGTTACTTTTGATATAAGAATTTGAATATGCAGCAAAAAAGCTATCTTTCCTGAACATTAGCATTAGCAACATGGAAGCAAATAGCCTGAAGTGAAAAACAGGGAGGAGTTGTTGATCACTTTGAATGAGACATTAGGACAATTGCATGTGCTCTCTTCTGTGGGCTGTTACTTTTGCCATAAGAATTTGAATATGCATAAAAAATCGATCTTTCCTGAACATTAGCATTAGCAACATGGGAGCAAATAGCCTGGAATGAAAAATAGTGAAAAGTTGTTGATCACTTTGAATGAGACATTAAGACAAATGCATGTGCTCTCTTCTGTGGGCTGTTACTTTTGATATAAGAATTTGAATATGCATCAAAAAAATCGATCTTTCCTGAACATTAGCATTAGCAACATGGAAGCAAATAGCCTGGAATGAAAAATAGGGAGGAGTTGTTGATCACTTTGAATGAGACATTAAGACAATTGCATGTGCTCTCTTCTGTGGGCTGTTACTTTTGATATAAGAATTTGAATATGCAGCAAAAAAGCTATCTTTCCTGAACATTAGCATTAGCAACATGGAAGCAAATAGCCTGAAGTGAAAAACAGGGAGGAGTTGTTGATCACTTTGAATGAGACATTAAGACAAATGCTCGTTTTCCGTTCTGTAGGCTGCTACTTTTGCCATAAGAATTTGAATATGCATAAAAAATCGATCTTTCCTGAACATTAGCATTAGCAACATGGAAGCAAATAGCCTGAAGTGAAAAATAGTGAAAAGTTGTTGATCACTTTGAATGAGACATTAAGACAATTGCATGTGCTCTCTTCTGTGGGCTGTTACTTTTGATATAAGAATTTGAATATGCAGCAAAAAAGCTATCTTTCCTGAACATTAGCATTAGCAACATGAATCCAAATAGCCCGGAATGAAAAAAAAGTGAACAGTTGTTGAACACCTTGTGAAAGACATTAAGACAAATGCATGTGCTCTGTTCTGTGGGCTGTTCCTTTGATATAAGAATTTGAATATGCATCAAAAAAAAATCTATCTTCACTGAGCAATAGCATTAGCAACATGAATCCAAATAGCCCGGAATGAAAAAAAGTGATCAGTTGTTGAACACCTTGTGAAAGACATTAAGACAAATGCATGTGCTCTGTTCTCTGCCCTCGCAATTGATGTCGCTATTGGGAAATTAAACTATCATTTCTGAAACTTTCACCGATATAAAAAATTACGAGTTCCAGAAATATGGAACTTGATTATCAAACTTTATCTGTCGAAATTACAAGAATCTGACAAATCATTTCAAATCCGGAACAGTCAGCAATGGGTGAAAAATGACTGCTATCTGGCGTGGTTTTCGGTCGGATCAACTTCAGTGGCATTTGGGCAACAAAAACAGCAATGGTTGTTTCGGTGACCCCGGCATCATAATGAGGCCTTCAATTTTGCTCCATTGCAGGGTACTTATTGAAGCTTGTTGTTTTCGCGCGTATGTTTGCAGATTTTCCAACGTGTTCGTGAAAAGATTGGAAAAGTGTGAATGGGAAATTCTAAATATTGAATTTTTCAATAGCAAATCCGGATAAAAGTGGGCAAGGATTCTAATATTTGTTTTAAGTAACTTTTGTGATTAATGCTATACTTTGTGATTAATTTGTTTTTTTTATTAATGTGATTAATTTGTGATTAAAGTGTGATTATTCTTGAGAGCGTACGTGATTTTAAGCAGTGATTTGCCCCTCGAATACAACTATCAGGGTTAGATATTTTTTAGATACCTGTGGTCTGGTAGGATTAATCTTCCTCTATAACAAAAAATATTCATCGCTTTTACGTAATCGCTACAAGACAAACTGCAAGTTTGCGTAGAAGAAATACGCTTAATTGCCTGATGATCGCATTAAGAGTAGCCTGTGCCCCAGTCCACAAATGCTGCAACATTTATGGACTGTGCAATGTTGATAAATATTCTGTCCAGACAGAGAAGCTGGGTCTAGTTTATGAAAATAATTTATGCAATGAAACCATTAAAATCTTGCATGAAAAGTCTTCGAAGAAATATTCACTGAAGCTAAACAGGACGTACAATCACTGCCAAAATTACTTGGAACACCTAACACTTTGCGCTGTGCTTTTCTATTTTTCATTTGTTTTTATGAATACTACCACTTCCGCCCCCCTTTCCCCCCAAAATTATTGTTGAAAGTATAGAAAAATATCAAACAAATCACAAGAAAAGGCGTACTCCATAACCCCTTTCTTTTTTCTATAATAAATCAACATTGTTCCTAGGGGGAGAGGGGGGTGGCTGAATTTGCCTTTGAAAACGGACGTTAGTATTCCAAGACTTTTGGCAGTGATTGTAGATAGGATGGTGCTTGAAGAGTTTAAAGTTTTTCAAGGTTGGAACCGTTGACAATTTTAGCTAATTGCATAATTTTGAAGGGTTGCATAAATTACCACCAGATCTTGGTAGAAACTGTGGACAGGATATTTATCAATATTGCACAGTCCATAAATGTGGCAGCATTCGTAGACTGGCAGATACAACTTCGAATTATTCTTAGAGCTTAGAATACACCAAAAACATGGACATGTCGGCCTATGTTGAATCTATCATTTTACGAGAGACCGGTAAACAGCATTCTTCAAAAGAGAAATAATTAAGAGAAAAGTTGCTTTTATTGACAAAATAACTCGCTTTTGATACGCCGGCATGAATTAAAACGTAAATTTTTGATACTTGAATTTTATTGCTTCTGTAATTAAAGAGGAAAATGCAAAAACACAACTGCAATGCTAATCTCAGAAGTGCATTAAAACCAGAAAAATATTTTGATTTTTAAACTTTGTGTTAAGGACTTAATATTACAAATGACGGTAATGAAAATAAAAAAGCAATTTTTTTTAAAAACACCTTGTAAAGAAATCAACGTGCCATTATGTGAGATTTTTGATAAATGTGCGACTCAAAGCTGATTTCCAGAATAATTAAGTCGTTATTTTCATCACTTTTATAGAAAACTGTTCTACTTCCTTGAATAATCAAAGTTATAGTTCTCGTTGTGCCTTTTATTTATAAAAAAAATCATTAAAATCAGAATCTCTCTAATCTTCATAAAATATTATCAAATCATCAGTTTGATTCTTCAGTTGTGTATCAGTTTCTCTGACCACAATGCCGAAGGAAGGATTGTATTGACAAATACTTCAACCTTAAGCTTTAAACCGATCACAAATGGAAGCCTAAGACAAATTATGGTGAAGCTAATCACAAAAAAGCGA